CCTCACTTCTTTGATTTTAGATTAAATGTTGGTCACACTCCCTGGGAGTACATAACCAGTTTGTACTTTGGTTGTCCTTTCAGTACACAATGACAGCTGTGAGGTGGCTCTGCTCAGGACTGCAGGAGTATCTTTCTGAGGCAAAATTTGGGCTTTGGTGCCTGGCACGTCCTCGTTCCCTTTTGTCACATGGAACACTGGAAGGATGTGTACTTAAGGATAGAGACTTAATACAATTAATAATTGTATTGCTCTGTCAAGGACTTTCTGAAGTGAAGCTAGAGGGGGTTAATGGATTTAAATTAGGCTCTGTGAGGGCATCTTGGGGCAGGACATGATGGGGATGCCTCAGTTTGGTGTCCTGGGCCAGCAGATTCCACTGGCACTCTTGCCTTTTCAGTATTAGTGCAAAGGTCCACACGGACAAGAAGCAAAGGTCTGTTTTGAAAATCAACTTGATTTTGTTGACCCCTGAACAAGCCACAGGGATTTCCAAGTATTTTCAAGTCACCCTTTGAGAGCCAGTACCTACTCTGGGCCTTTTCTTTACGGTCACCAAATAGGAGAGGCCATCCCTAATCCCCACTGAACACAACCCAGCCAGACCCATGGGAATGTTTAGGCCCCCCAGAGAACAAGTGGGCTAATGGGCACCATAGCTAGCCTATCTAGCCGTGGTCTTTGTATTTTTCTCATCATCTGGGTGATGGAGTTTTTTTTTTTTTTCCTCATCTTCTCTGGACCCTGCCACTCTTTGTCCCTCATGACCTGTCAATTAACTGACCCCAGCACCCCCAGGCAAGCCCCATTCTACAGGGCCTATGTGTAATATTTAATAAGCTTCAGTCCTGGGTCTGTCTTTCCTGGCTTAGTGAAGAGAAACCGGTCATGGCTATGTCCAGCGGGAGCCCACACATCTCCCAGGATAGCACTGGATGCTGCTTCTAATCTACTTTCTCTGGAAGTCATTCTCACTCTCCCCCCTCCCTCCCTTCTACCCTTTGATCTTTCTTCTTTTTTTTTTTTTGGTACTGGGAATTGAACTCAGAGGCGCTCAACCACTGAGCCACATCCCCAGCCCTTTTTTGTATTTTGTTTAAAAACAGAGTCTCGCTGAGTTGCTTAGGGCCTCCCCAAGTTGTTGAGGCTGGCTTTGAACTCGCGATCCTCCTGCCTCAGCCTCCTGAGCTGCTGGGATTATAGGCATGCACCACCACATCTGGCTTTTCTTCTCCATTTCCAGGGCTATGCACAATCACTGCTGGCAGTAACATGATCCAAATGTGAACTTTGCCCATGTGTTCCATCCTGAGTCCCCTAATTGTCCCCCTGTCTGATGACATGTGGCACCTGTATATCTGCTCATGGCTTCTGGCCTAGAGTGCTCCTCATATTCCTCGCCCGCTGCATGGAAATATCTGAAAACCCTCCTGGGCTGAGTCATTGACTACGACCCCCATCCTAACTAACCTGCCTGTGCTGCAGTCAGTGTGGGCCTTCCTGGGAGGCTAGGCCATACCTATCCAACAGGTGCACACAACATAGGTATAGATGTGTGTTGCCTGCCTGGACTCCCTGTGAAGTTTCCAAAGGCAAGGATGTTACTTACTCTCTCTACTTGGCATATCCTCCATTGCCTAACATCTGCCAGCACCCTTGTCAAGACGACCACCAGTTACCTTTGCTAATCAGTGAGTAACTGTTCATTAATTGAAATGCAACATCTCAATCCTAAATCCTGGCTGGGCCATCCTAAGGGGCTTTAAAACAAAGGAAGGAGCAACATTGTCATCCTGCTGCAGAGTCAAAAATGAGCAGAGGGGACCACAGGATGATAGAGGAGAGAAAACCCTTAAGGGTGACCAAGAATTGGGCTCCAGAAAAGTGAGCACTGCATTCATACTCTGGGAGTGTCTGTGGGGAATTGGAAGTGACCAGCCTCTGGGTGATGGAGTTTGGAGGAAAAAGTTCTTAAAACGTCCAAAATGAACGTGGTGTTTTGAGTCCCAAGAATAGGTGTCTGGCTCCCTGGTCCTAGAGCATGTCAGGCCTCCCTTTGTTCATGTCCCCCAACACTTATTTCTGTACCCAGCATGTATCAAGAAGGCAGCTTAGTGAAAGTGTACTGGATGAGGTGTTGGGAGGATGCTGAGGGAGCCCATCCAGCTTAGGGAAATCTAAGCAGAACCTGGTTTGCTGTGATCCTGCATCTTGGAAGAAGCACAGGACAACTTGCAAATGTGAGGCCAGCGCCCTCTGCCCCTCTTGCACACACTCCTGGCCTCTGCTGTTGTTTCACCCTTAACGGGAAACTCAATAGACAAGCAGTTTCCCTTTATCCTGGAGGCTTGAGGGAGTCCCTGACACATGCTAGGCACACTGCTTATTTGGGAGAACACCAGCCAAGCCAGAGATGGGAGGGAGCAGACTCTGCAGAAAGGGGAAGGGAGGGACCCAGGCAGAGGATGTGAAGAGGCCAGGACATAGTACCAGCTCCTCTCTAGAAATGCAGGATACTGGGCAGCCTGGTACCCTGTGAGAAGGGAGGAGTGAGGGGAAGGAGGGTTCCTTTTGTGATCCACTGGTGGGGAGGTGAGCTGCTGGCTTTCTACAAGGGACATAGAATCTAATTGGACTCCATATGGCCCTGGAGAGACCAGCAGAAGAGGGGCACTTCTAGGCCACTGGTCTGGCTAACAAGTGGATGAAATCTGGGGGTGGGTGGTACCTGTTCCTGTCCTTTTCCTTTTTCCCAGTCTTACCAGTCCCCGGAGCACATGCCTGGCTCTGATCTGACATCTCAAAGCCTCCCTGATATTCCTTCTTGCTTTTCTGCCACCCCTGTGATCTGCCTTTTGGTTTCTTGCAGCAGGTTGAGTCAGTCTTCTTGCCGCTTGTCTCCCCTGTACCTGGCTCTACCTACTCCTTTCCAACACCTTGGGTGCAGGTGGCATCTGGTCCCTCAGACCTCAGGGCTTTTGAATGCATAAGATGTTCACAGAGCTCCCTCTTCACCTTCCTACTCTGTTCCTGAGTTAGTTGCTGACTCCAGAATTAAGATAATCTGTCCCTTGATCCATAACCCAGACCTTTCATTGAACTGAAATGCTTAAACCCTGTCCTTAAGGCCAAGAGTCAGCAGTTGGGACATTAGAGGTGCCCAAAGAAAATGAGGTAAAGGGCCAGCAAGAAGGGAACAGCCCCAGTCGCTGGTGCTTCCCTCAGGTGGCCACACCTGACTGCCTAGACCTCTCCTCAGCAGAACTTTTCCTACCAAGGTGGTTTCCTAGATGGACAGGGCAGAGGTCAGGGCAGGGCAGAAACTCCACTGGGCTGAGGAGCCCTAAGGACAGTCCTGGCCCAGTGGAGCTCCAGCTCTGGGATGTGAGGGTTGGCAAGGAGATGGTTTCTGTAGGTCCCAAGCCTGACAAGCTCCTTGACCCAAGTGGACAGGGTAAGAACATTGGCCAGGGGTTTGGACTTACCTGGGCATTTGGGGAACCTCAGTGGTTACCATGGCTACCTGACGCCAAGGCTGTGGCCCTGAGCCCATAGGCTAGGGTGGCGGGGGGAACATGAAGAGGTGTGTGAGGAGGGTGAGACCATAGGGCTTCAGGTAAAGTAACCCCTGCAGATGTGCTGGAGAGGATACCTCATTTGTGGAAGCCTCTGATAATTTGTTTTGGGGATGAAGTAAGCCAGGTATGCTAGTGTGAACACTGGATCTTGCAAAAAGGATACTTGTGTGGAAAATCGCTGGTGGGAAGATCACAGAATCCCTTTTTTTAGGTAGCAGGAGTCAAACTCAGGGTTATGTGGTCACTGAGCCACATCCTCAGTCCTGTTTTGTATTTTATTTAGAGACAGGGTCTCACTGAGTTGCTTAGGGCCTAGCTTTTGCTGAGGCTGGCTTTGAACTAGAGATCCTCCTGTCTCAGCCTACTGAGCCACTGGGATTACAGGAGTGTACCACTGTGCCCGGCAATCATCTATTGTCTTTGTACAGTTCAATCCTGATTGAATTCTATTTCAATGGGGAACTTACTATCACCAAAGTTAGTACTACTAAGGAGTACTGAATATTCATTGCAATCAACTGTTTTCACTAAAGGAAAGGAAATTAGGGTGCTAGGCCTCCCAGTCAACTTCGTGGTGCCAGCATCCTTCTTCCTCAACTGTGGACAAACTGGGACAGAATGAAGCCTAAGCTGTCACTTGGCTGCCCCCAGGCAACTAGGGCTTGGACCACACTTGAATTCATGGAACAAGTGGTGCTCTTCCTCAGCAAGGTGCTAGCTCATCTAACAGGTGTTACACAATGGGGTACTACAAGATCTCTGGCCTGGTTCTGAAGCCCCCGTGATCACTGAGCAAGCTGATAATCTCACTGACTTGTATCTGGTCCACGTATTAAGGGCCTTTGAATCCAGAAAAGAAAAAGGAAGTCATTTCAGGTCTGGACTCTGGTCCTAACAGTGATACAGGTAGGGCAGGTTTTTAGCATCCTTGTCTGCCCTACCCCACTGGCAACAATTCAGGAGCCTTGAGAACACCTCAGAGACTGAGATGAGGCCTCCCTGTACTTTCAGTTCAAGCAAAGGGTGGGTGCAGGTAAGTGGGCATCAGGTCCAGGCAGTGTGTCTGTGCTTTAGCCCCTCACACATAACACCCCTCATGCCTACCCCCACCCTATCTTTTGCTGCCCCAAGGCCTTGCCCTGTGTCATTACTGTTCTCTTCATAGCACACTTGCACACACAAAAGCCAATACCAGCCCGCTAGTCTCATCTAACATGCAGAATGCTTCCAAGACTACATGGAATTTCTTCCTTCTAACAACTGTTCTTTTCCCATTTTGGGGAAGAGGACAATTGAAAACTGAAGCAGAGGACTTGGGGTGTAGCTCTGTGGTAGAGTGCTTGCTTAACATATGCACCCTGTTTGGTCCAGAATAGCAAAAAAGTGAAGCAGAACAAAATCAACTGGGAACCACCTGATTGGTAATGTTGAGGACTCTGTTCAGCAGTAAAATCCATCAGCAATGGCATCTGACTGTATGGCCTGACAGTCCCCAGTCTCTCCGGAGCTCTTACCAAGTTCTCTTCTTGCGTATTCAGGGCTGCAGACCCACATGTAGAGAACTCATTGAGATTCCCCTGCTTACTCCAGTAATTCCAATTGGAAGGGCCTGTGGTCAGTGATCTAAGGGTCACCACACTGAGCTGCTTCAGTAATCAACCTGAGCCCCTTTCTGAGAAATGTTCTCAGGCCCTCAGAATCAGTCTAGGCTCTGTTCATGTGATGTCTTACATCCCTGCCAGCCTGAAAGGTGAGCCCCACCTTGGCTGTGGCAACTGCCTTAGGCCCAACACCCAGACAGAGGATGGAGTCTGGTGAATGTCATGATCCTCTGTAGGACTCAGGCCAGAAATCTTTCCAGGCCCAGGGCAGCTTATGTACATCTGATCCACCCTTGCCTGTGGACCATGTCAGATACAGGGAGTATATGATGACCACAGCCAGATGCAAAGGAGTACCCTGACCTTTGTAGTTCTGCAGATAGGGCAGCTGTTCCCATACCAGGAACCTGTTTTTCCTGGTACAGTTGCCAGTCATGCTGTGATTGCAAGATCCTTGAGTCACACTGCAAGAGGATAGCAGGAGAAATAAGATTCTGAAGAGGTGACAGGGCAAGGGTCAGGACAGGTACTACCTAGCGAGCAAGGTGCTGGGTCCAGGACCCCATGGCAGGCCAGGGCTTGGCTTGCTTGGTAAGGGCTGGAGACTGGGCTCTTTACCAGGTGGAACCCTGAATTTGTGTTGGTATGAGATCTCACCTCCAGGTAGGAAGTGCTGTTTGGGCTAATAACTGTCAATAAGATAAGCCTACCAGGCATATTGGCTGAAACAGATGCCCAGAGCACTTTTTGTTTAGGTGGACCCAAGGAAGAGAAGGCTCAAAGAGGCTGCAATTATCTACACCTTACTCATGTGAGGGGTTGCACAGGGCCACTGGTGCACTGTGAAGCAGAGCAGGTGGTGGCTGGCACTCCCCATCCATTAAGGAGGGGCTGCTACCCAGGTAGGTTAAGAGAGGCTTGGCTGAGCCTGTTCCCTGGGGAGAAGTTGGAGCACACAGAACAGCAGCAGATAGTCCATGGATAACTTAGTTTATGGGTCAAGCCAATACAATGCAAAGTTATTATTTCTTTTTTAACCAAAATAAATAAATCAGATCTGTCCCTGTGAAGGTCAAAGTAAGGAACAAAGGGCAGCTGGCCCCTTGGCCCACCCAGCCCTCACCTATCCCTCTCTCCTGCCTCTGACCTGCTTTGGCACAGAAAAGAAAAGGATGCATTGAAAGTCTCCATTGTGTTTAAGGGAAAGAGCAGAAACAAAAGTGGAGTGATTGGGGTGGGGGGTCTGAGAAGGAAGTTGGGGTCAGCAAGACCAATAGCTACAGCCAGTCAGTGCCCTGACTGTGGGACCCAAGAGGGTTACTGGCCCTACAGGGTGTCTGTGGGCTCCAGGGGCTGCCTGGCCCCGGGCAGCATGGGTGGGGCATGACCCCCATGCATAGCCCAGAACCCTTGAAGGGAAAGGCAGCCGAGATGGTCACTGCACAATTGAACCTAACCCCACTGTGCCAGGTCAGGTCGAGGGCTCCCCCACTTCCCTGTTATCCTCATCTCACCCCAAGGCTGAGGCCTACCATGCCAGCTATGATTCCTCTGGGGCTTAATATATTAGGTCAGGCCCCAGTAAGCAAAGCAACTCCTAGTCCCAGTGCAGGATCTGTGCCTTGTTGGGTGACAAAGACTCCAGCACCCTGGGAAGTCACCTGAGGTCCTGCTTCTGCTTCAGAGATGATATGGTGGGGAGGGGCTTGATTAGAGCTGACCCTCCCCAAGGGTCATCCTGTGGGGCTCCCTTTCCTTCTCCCGTTCCCCCTGCCTCCACGAAAGCTGCTCAGCTTGAGAAGTCTGCACAGGCTGGACAGCATCTGGAGTGGGGGAGGGTCAGCAAAGCACTCAAGGGGGACAACAGTCTAATTCCTATGAGAGCAGGGCTGGGTGGTGGTGTGCGGCACAGCGAGAGGGGCAGAGGTGTGGGCAGCGCTGAGGCACTATTCTTTAGTTGAGAAGCAATGGGCATCATGGATGTGTGTGGGGGGTCTGTGGCCCAAGTAACCCCTGGAGCGTCTAAGAGAATTTTTTGAAGGCGTCCAGATCAAAGGCTGTGTCCAGGAAGCGCTGCAGCTCCGTCAGATGGGTTTTCTTGTTGCCAGTAGCTGGAGCAGCTGCTGGATCCCGGCCAGCATACCTGAGAAGGAGCAGTAAGGCAGTGGTCACAGTGGGTACTTTTCTCTCTCCAGCATACTCCCATACTGCCCATCAGCCTGAGGGAAGGTCCTATAGGCCCTTCCTGCTCACCAGACAGGCTTGGCGCGGTCGATGGTGGTCCGAAGTCTTGGCTTCACATAGTCGTAGTAGCCTTGGTTCTTGTGTTCTTCCTGGCACCAGGCCAGCTCAGCATTAGGGTACTTCTGCACCTCCTTCAGCAGGAGGTCGAAGGGGAATGGTGACAGCTGGGAGAGAGCAAGGTCAGATCAGATCAAGAAAGGGATGTTCAGAGGGCATGCAGGGTCAGGAGGGAGGCTGGAGGTTCAGAAAGGGCAGTCATTGTTCTAGGTGAGAAAGGTCAAGCACCAAGGATTCCCAACTTCAGTAAATAATATTCTACAAAGGCACCAGATCTCTGATAGTCCAGAGGGAGGATAATAGCACTCAGATGCCATGTCTCCTGCCCTTACCTGTTCAATCCTTGTAATGGCCACCTGCTCTGCCATGTCCCTTGCCTTGCGCTCTCGGGTGAGGTCATAGTACACCTTGCCAGTGCAGAAGAGAAGCCTCTTGACTTTGTCTGGGGCCTGAGCTGCAGGGCCATCTTCTGGGATCACCCGCTGAAAGTGGGTTCCTATAAGACAATTCCCATGGACAGGGAATTACTGCTATGTGTGAAGGGAGGATCCATGAGATAGGGCTATGCTCATGATGCTCCAGATGGTTTCTGAGGGTTTGAGGTGCTTCCACTTCACCAGCCTCTGATGCCTGGATCTGCTCAGACCATAAGTGCTTTGCAAAACACATTGTGTATAACAAGTATACAGCACACTGGACAAAAATTAAACAACAAATGAACAAACTGAAAAACTAATCATACACAAACAGAAATGTTGGGAAAGATGTGGAGAAATTGAATTCCTCTTGTGCACTGCTGGTGGAAATGCTAAATGGCATAGCCATTGTGGAAAAGTTTGGCAGTTCCTCAAAAATAGAATTACCATATGGTCTAGCAATGCCACTTCTGGGTATGTACCCAAAAGAACTGAAAGCAGAGCTTTAAAGAAATATTTGTATACTCATGTTCAAAGCAGCATTATTCCCAAGAGCTAAAATATGGAAGCAACCCAAGTGTCCATTGATCAATGAATGGATAAACACAATGTGGTTTAGCCACAGAATGGAATATTGTTTACCCTTTAAAAGAAATTGTACATGCCCATACTCCCAGTTACTTGGGAGGTGGAAGCAGAAGAATGACAAATTTAAGGTCTAGGCAAATTAGCGAGATCCTATCTTAAAATGAAAAAAAATTTAAAAAGGACTTGAGCTGGGTGTGGTGGAGCATGCCTATAATCCCAGTGACTTGAGAGGCCGAGGCAGGAGGATTGAAAGTTTGAGGACAGCCTAAGCAACTTAGTGAGACCCATCTCAAAATAAAAAATAATAAGAGCTGGGGATGTGGCTCAGTGGTTAATTGCCCTTGAGTTAAATCCCCAGTACAAAACAACAAAGACTGGTGATTTACCTTAGTGGTAGAGTGCTTGTATTAGTATATATAACTAAATCTGGATTCAGTATAGTACTAGGAATGAACACACACACAAATACAGGGTAAACATTCCTATCTTTTTTTTTTTTTTTGCCTGGGGACTGAAATTAAGGGTGTTCTACCACTGAGCCGCATCCCTAGTTCTTTTTATTTTTTATGTATGGGTCTCACAAAGTCACCCAGACTGGTGTTAAACTTGGGATTTTCTTGCCTCAGCTGCTGGGATTACAGGTACATGCATTGCATTTAGCCCTATTTTTTTCTTCTGCTCTGGTACTGGGGATTAAACCCAGGTGCTCTCTACCATTGAGTTGCATTTGTATTCTGAGCCAGGGCCTTGTAAATTGTCAAGGCTGGTCTTGAACTTGAGATCCTCTTACCTCAGCCTCCTGAGTTGCTGGAATTATAGGTAGGCATCACCATACCTGGAGAACATCCCTAATATTAAAAACTCCAAAATCTGAAAACTAAGTGCTGACATGATGCCCAAAGTGGAAAATCCCACATCTGACCTCATGTGATAGGTTGCAATCAAAATGCAGGTTCACTGAAAGTATTAATAAAAATACCCTCAGGCCATGTGTACAGATGAAAGATACAATTCATTTATGAAACATAAATTTCATATTTATACTTGGGTCCCATTCCCGTCTATATTGTCACTGTACTATATGATTCTACTCACATAAGGTAACTTGGTGGCCAGGAGGAGCTGTGGACCCTGGGGATATCTGGGCAGCTGCAGGCTGTCAATCCCTGCTTGCCACTGTCCATGAAACCTCAAGTCTTGGCCTCACTTCACACCAGAACTCACAGAACCACCTCCCATGTCTTTTCCTATCCCACAGGGCTTGCTAGGAGACCTGGAATTCTGAGTCTGGGGTGAGCTGCTGGAGGACACCATGGGCAACAGCCCTAACTTATAATAATCTTAGACTCACTTAAGTGTAGTCCTGGGGCACTGGGTCTTGACCCCTTGACCAAAACCTCAGGGAGATTCATAAATAAAAGCTTTGCAAGCCCCACAGAATAGCAAAGAACCTTCCCAGGAAATGCCCATTCCCCTCACACCTACCTGGAAGCATCTCATCAAAGTTGGTTCTGGCCTCAGGGTGGCGCAGCAGGGATTTGGGGGTAAAGATGATTAACTGAAAGACAGAATAGGCTCATGATGGACTGGGTCTTAAAGATTCTACAGCAAGCTGAGCATGGTGGTACACACCTATAATCCTAGCAACTTTGGAGGCTGGGGCAGGAGGATTACAAGTTCAAGGCCAGTCTCAGTAACTTAGGCCCTAAAGCAACTTTGCAAGACCTTCTCTCAAAATAAAAAGGCCACCTAAGCTATGACCTCAAGACGGATAACACAGCCTGCCTTCCCAGTAATAAATAGAGCCTCAATCAGAAGAGGCAGAGGAGGAAAAAGCAGACGACACATTCTCTGTTGTTCACCTCCCCTCAATGGGTGTCCATTCTCTCCAGGGCAGTCTTGACCCAGTCCTGAGCCCTGAGGCCTACTGGAAAGAGCCCTGAGCCTCTCTTTGGTAGTCACAGAGCAATTATACCCTCAGCCCATCAGCCCATTTAATGTTATGAGAGGCCAAGCACGAGGCTATCCTGTCCCTTGGGATGCAAGCTGCTGGTGATACATGAGTTGCAAGCCCCCTACACTCCTCACCCTTGCAGTATCCCAGGACAGCAGGGTTCTCCCTGGACCTTTCGTCACACTCCTTCCTCTGCCTGGATCACTTTTCCCACTGGCCCTACTTACCTAGCTCTACTCACCCAGGAACTACTTCCTGGGGTCCCTCTACTCCCTTGGATCCTAAAGGGGCTCATCTCTATTCCAGAACTCAGTACACTACCTATGATGACCTGCTCACACATCTATTCTCTCCAATGTGTTGGGGCCTACACTCTCTTCTGATCTCTGCATGTTGTACTTAGCAGCATGTGAAGACCCAGCTGTGTATATGTATGTGTATGGGAGATCTGGCTCCCTGACACCACATCATGTCCATAACTCCCTTTATAGGCACCAGCTAACCAATTCAGAGTAAGAGGAGCCCTTCTTCTCTGTGCCAATATAGCAGGGGTAAGGCCCTGGGTCACTCTGAGGCCAGACTTGGTCAAAGTAGGGGGACTCCACCACTGACCGGCTTCCGGAAGGGCAACAGGATCTGCCGTCGAAGCACATGGAAGAAGTTGCCCGGAGTAGAGCAGTTGACAACTACCCAATTGCAGTCATACAGCTGATTGATGTCAAAGTTGGATTCCATAAGGTCCTGCAATTTGGAAGGAATGAGAGGTCAGGCAGCAGCACTGCACATTCGGCTTGGGAGATTGGGACCACATGGGGGCAGAGAGGCCTCATAGCTCCACCCTCAGGTACCTAACTCACCTGGCGGCTCAAGCAGACACTAATGAGTACAGTGGAGCAAGCAAGCTCGCAGGACCATCTCCGCATCCTAAGTCTTAGCCCCATTTAACCTTTTGTAGCCACCTGAAGGCCCAGCATGAACTGATGCTATTTTTTTTTTTAAAAGGTCTTGGACACAAGACCTTTATTTTGTTTGTTTTTTTTAATGTGGTGCTGGGGATCGACCCACGTACTAGGCAAGCGCTTTACCACTGAGCCACAACCCCAACCCCTGGAACTGATGCTATTTTAGGAGATAATTCTAACATTCCTTTCAATAATTTTCTTTGAGCATTTTTTTTGGAGGGGGTGATGCTAGGGACTGAACCCAGGATCTCATGAATGTTAGGCAAGCACTCTACCACTGTATGTACTCTCAGCCCTTTCTTTGAGCTTTTTTTTTAATTTTGGTCAAAATTTTTTTAGATGTAGATGGACACAATGTATGTATGTCTGATTGATTGATTGATTGATTTATCTATTTATTTATTTATTTGGTACTGAGGATTGAATCCAGTGCTTCCCACATATGAAGCAAGCACTCAACCATTGAGCTACAATCTCAGCCCTTCTTTGAGCTTTTTAACACTATCCCAAAATTTTCCCCTTTGAAGTCTGTCTACATGGCAATTTCTGTGGTTTCAGCAACAGAAGGAGGCAAATGGAAAGTAGCTCTTGCATCTTTATTTTCTGTGCCCTTAGAAAGCCACTCATTTCATGGAGACCAGTAGGCATGAGGCCACACTGGTTCACCCACTTAAGCTCCCAGAACAAAGAAGGGACAACCAAACCAAGGTCTGACACCTCAAAACAACCAGATGAACTTTCCTTCCCAAGGTCCCCACCAAATGTCCCAGGAAGCAGGCCTACTCTACTCACTGGCAGGACATCTGGGTCGTCATTGCACATTTGCAGGAAACGCTCTGGGCGGGCAGAGGAATGTTCTGGACCCTGGAACCAGACATACAAGTGAGTTTGGAAGTTCTTGCATGTCGATATCTGCTATACTTGCTGTTTCTCTTCCTTTATTAGCTTATTTCTGGTTTTTTCCTCTGCCAAGGGCAGAGTTCATTCAATTCCTCTCCCTCCTACCTACAAGGTGTGAAGGTGGGGGTGGGGGTGGGGGTTATGAGGAAAGCAAGTGTCCCTTGGACGCCTGCATGCATTGGAGGGAAGGGTCTGCATCAATATCACTATTATTCGTTCAGGGACAGACATGCTGCTTGCATCCAGATGAGTTGCTCTTGTCTTTCAAAGTGGCATTTCCAACTAAGATGGATGGAAAATGCCAGGAGAGCACTTGGGTCTTTGGGGTGGGGGTCCTAGGCAAGTCCTTCCCCAGGTCTGGGTCTTGTGAGAAAAAGTAGGGACTTACCATGCCCTCCATGCCATGAGGCAGAAGCAACACAATGCCATTCTGTCGTACCCACTTAGCCTGCCCTGGGCAGATAAACTGATCAATGATACACTGGGCCATGTTGTTGAAGTCACCAAACTGGGCCTCCCAGAGGACCAGCGCATTAGGGCTAGCCATGGCAAAGCCCAGCTCAAAGCCTATAATGCAGACACAAAAGAAAGACACGTCTGAGACATCAGCCACCAGGCAATGAGGACTGTGGATGAGGGGGGTGGTGGGCACTCACCCAGGACACCATATTCAGACAGTGAGCTGTTGCACACAGTGTAGGGAGCCTGATTGGGCCAGAGGTGGTTCATGGGGATGCAGGTTCTCTTGTCCACATTCTGGTCATGGAGCACATGGTGGCGGTGGCTGAAGCAGAACATTAGGATTAATAAACAGGAGCAACTGATCTATCAGGCAACTGACAAATGAAGCACCAACAGACTCATCAGCAACAACCTGGTATCTGCCAGCTACTGCAAGTGGCACCCTGCCTAGTATTTAACAGGAGCATCCATAATATATCAAGGAAAAGGTGAGGCAGCCCAAACAGCCAGGAATCAGTAACTTTTCTGGCAACAATTTTCTTCTGGAAAATAAACACCAGAGCCCCTCCATTCCCTCTGACTTTAAAAGGTAAAAAAGCCTCTAATTGGTACCTGAAGGTGCCCCGCTCCACATCCTGGCCACTCAGCCGGACATGGATACCCTCCTTCAGGAGTGAACCGAATGCCATGTACTCTGCCAGAGCCCAATCCACAGTCCGGTTTGTCACTAGCTCCTTGCGAGTCTTCAAGATCCGACTCAGCCCTGGAGAGATATAGTATTCACAAAACTTCAGGCTCAGGCCACCTCATTTCCTATGCTCCAGTAAGAAAGGATAGAACCTTCTTTACCCAAAGTGTCAAGGTTTCCTGACTTGCTGAGCAAGTGGTGACTATGCAGTCTCTACTTTGCTACATAGCAAGTGCAGGACTTTGTTGAGAGCAGTGGGAGGATCATACCCCAGAGGCCTTGCATGCTGTGGGTCTCTGTAGGGCACCAGAGGTGTTGGCCTGGGCCAAGTGCAGCACTGTTTACCTCCATGGATGGTGAAGTTCTCCACAGGCACAGAGCTGGCCACATTCCCAATATGGGTCAGAACATCTTCCTCCAGGCCAGTGGAGGGGCAGGACATGCTCCTGGGCTGCCCATCCAGTGTGAAAAAGCCTAAGAGAGCAAGGACAGGCTAAGGCACACCACCTACTTTAGAAGGGATATCTGTAGAGCAGATCAGAAGTGCTGCTCTCTTCCAGGAAATGAATTATAACAAAAACATGACTATGGAGAGACCCAGAGTGAGAGATAGTGAAGACTGGATGATGTTCCCCAGAGAGCACTCTGGGGCCCACAGGGGGCTTTGCTGCAATGGTAGACACACTGTATATTACGGTCGCAGCAGGAGTGGGAGTTTTTTTGCTGGGAAGAGGTTTCATGGTCCCATCAGATTCTCAAAGGAGTCTATCTGTGATGTTGCTTCCTCACTCACCAGGCCAGGGGGAGTCAAGCCAGTGCTTGATGTGCAGTATCTTCTCATCTTTGGATCTGGTAAATGCTTCCTCACAAATCTTGTCATACTTGGAGATTTCCTCCTGCAGGGTCAGGCACAGAAAAATCAAGTGAGCACAGCACACCCCCACTGCACGGGCCCACCACACCCTGTCTGGCATACACTGCACCCCTGCCACACACACCCCTACACCCCCCTGCATATCCTCAGACTCACCGGCCTCCAAGCCAGCTCCTCCACAAAATGCACAGCCTTTTTAAGATCTGTGAGCATCTACAACATTCTATTCTTCTTGCTCCTGATAAGTTTCTTCCCTGTATTTGTTGGCTGAAGATCCTGCTGACTCTAAGCCCCTTATCCTAATTGTTTTTTGCTATTGTTTCTGAGTATTAGGGATTGCTCACAGGATACTTTAGCACTGAGATATATCCCCAGTCCTTTTTATATTTTTAATTTTGAGACAGGGTCTTGCTAAATTCCCAGGCTGACCTCAGCTTCTGGAGTAGATGGGATTATAGGTGTGTGCCACTAAGCCCAGCTCTGACCCCTACATTCTTAAAATTGGTTCAATTCACACAGTTCCTATGCTGCCCTGAGGGGACTGGGCTCCAGATCTATGTTGCTAGCAACTGTCCTTTATGGACCCTGGTCTGCTCTACCATCTCACAGTTTCTCATATGTCCGATAGGGGCTTCCTCACTTACTTTGCCAGAATTCCCTGTCCAGATCACATTGGGCCCTTCACCAAACTGAACTATTCACTTGCATCTCAGCCACATAATCTGTGTCAACTGAGAAAATTTATTGGACAGTCACTACCTCATCTCTAAAATACCCTTCTCTTCCCCAAAACACTCCTTTGAGGGCTCATCTCCTTTGTAAAGCATTTTGGTAGTTTAGATGCTCTAAGAAGTTATGCACTGAAATGTTACAGTAGTAAATATTTCACATGCTTTCACTTGGGTCCTAATGTGAGGCCTGCCAGAACACACCTCATATTCAGGCTGGTTGACCACACCCTGGGACACTAGCAGCTCTGCATACTTCTGTAGCACAGGTTTCTGCTTGCGGATCTGCTTGTACATAAGAGGCTGTGTGAACATGGGCTCATCCATCTCGTTGTGGCCGTTGCGCCGGTAACATACCTGGTTAGAGCAGCAAGAGAAGACTTGAGATACCATGCCTAGTCTCAAGAAAGAGCGCTACAGGGGCAATTGCCCTATCTTACTATGTAATACCAACATGTCAGGTGTCTACTCTGCCTCAGTGTACTTCCTCTAGAATAGGAACCTTTCCTTCACACAGAAGAGTTGCTCTGACTATCAAATGAGATAAAAGGAAAGTGATTTGGGAGTATGAACTCTTTATTCACCATGCTGTCCCATGAAAGGACCAGATGGGCCCATAAATAGTTCTCTTCATCCCCACAGCTCCTACCTGGAGAGTATTTGGGGATGGGGCTTGGCATGAACATTCTGGAGCTAGATGAAGCCTGGCACTCTAGAGAGCCCTGAGGAGATTCAGATACTAATAGCAAGGGGGTAGGCAATGCTCTCCTTAGACATTCTCACCCTGGCATCACTTACCAGATCAACAACCACATCCTTGTGGAAGGTGCTTCTCCACTCAGCTGCCACCTTGCACACATACATGACAGCTTCAGGGTCATCTGCGTTCACATGGAAAATGGGGGCATTCACCACACGTGCTACATCAGTGGGGTAGGGGGAGGAACGGGCCATCCGAGGGTCTGTGGTGAAGCCAATCTGCAAGGAATACATGACCTGTCAAGAGGGCACCAGGCATGGGTGGCACAGGACCCAGAGGGTGGCAGGTAGTGCTGGATATGGTCTACATTTCCTAGTTGGCTAGTTTGAATGAGCCCAAATGGCCATTAACTTTAAGTTGTTTTTCCCTATTGGGATGACAAAATTCATATATGTTCAACCTGAAGAATTTAGAAGACACATTGTAAAATATTAAAGTTACCTATAATTCCATGTTAGAGTATAAATACTTTTTTTAGAAATAACTTTATTTGGGCTGGAGTTGTGGCTCAGTGGTAGAGTGCTTGCCTAGCGAGGCACTGAGTTCTATCCTCAGCACCACACAGGAAAAAAAAAAAAAACCTTTTATTTTATTTTTTATGTGGTGCGAAGATTGAACCCAGTGCTTCATATGTGTGAGACAAGTGCTCCACCACTGAGCTACAACTTCAGCCCTAGAGTATAAATACTTTTGACATTATCCTTCCCAGATTAACAACATAAGTATACATACATACACACATACACACACACAATTTTTTAAAAATATTTATTTTTCAGTTTTAGGTAGACACAATATCTTTATTTTTTAAATTTTTATGTGGTGCTGAGAATCGAACCCAGTGCTCAGGCATGCCAGGCGAGTGCGCTACCACTTGAGCCACAACCCTAGCCCCCACACACAATTTTTAAAGTGTGGCATCTTGTTTCCATAATTTGTACTTTATTTAATATTATGAACATTTTTTTAAAATGCTCATGGTAGCTGCCCTACCTCCTGGCTCCATTTTTTTTTAATACTTTTATTTTTATTTATTTTTATGTGGTGCTGAGGATTGAACTCAGAGCCTTGCATGTGCTAGGTGAGCACTCTACCGCTGAGCCACAACCCCAACCCTGAACATTTTTTCTTTAAAAAAGAAAATATGAAGGCTTCATAATACTACCACTCAGATATGTGTATATATATATTTTTTTTCTTCATAATTTTGTAACTACATTTAAAATTTTATTTCAAACATAAAGTTGATAATACTATATTAATAATCCATGAACCTATCACCCAACATAAATCTTAACAGTTTTGCCATACTGGCTTCTGGGCCTTTGCTCAGGCTGCTGGAGGCTGGACCACAGGACTTTCTCCACTGAAATTAGAGGACATTCCATCAGTTGCTCTTTATATTTCGTATGTCAATAAACAGCACAAAGCATCTTTTTTCACTTGTTGGTAACTGAAATTTTTATTACTTCACTCATGAAAAAACTTAACAGATACTGCAAAGAACTCCCATATACTCTTCATTAAATTTGCAAAGTCTACATTTTGCCCTTTGCTTTATTATTCATGCTTTTTCCCTCACACAAATATCCTCCTTTCCCCTGAACCATTTAGGACAAGAACATTCCCTAACCTAGTCAGAAGCTCAGCCTCAAGCAATTTATATTGTATAGTATCATTATTCAAACCAGTCTCATGTGGTATCACATGACCACCATCTGATTCATAGTCCAAACATACATTCCATCATCCCAAATAATGTTTGCAGTATTGCCTTCTTTTCCTCAGTTCAGAGGAAAAAAGATGTATTTAGTTGTCATTTCTCTCTACTCCATGTTAATGTTTAAGGATCCTTTGCTGCCTTTGTTCTTTCATAGCACTGACATTTCTAAAGAGCAGCTGCATTTTTAAAACTATACAAATATAAATTCTTGTTCCTTATAAATGGTATCATACTCTATATATTGTGTAAATCCTTTGCAATTTGCTTTTAGTACAACATATGAGGGCTGGGGTTGTGGCTCAGTGGTAGAGCGCCTGCCTCGCATGTGTGAGACCCTGGGTTCGATCCTCAGCACCGCAAAAAAAATAAATAAACAAATAGTACAACATATGTATTTATGATTTGTCCAGGTTGAAACTTAGCTCTATTCCTTTAAAACAGCCTAGTGCCGGGAGTGGTGGTGCATGCCTGTAATCCCAGTGGTTTGGAAGGCTGAGGCAGGAGGATCATGAGTTCAAAGCCAGCCTCAGCAATTCAGTGAGGCCCTCAGCAATTTAGTGAGTCCCTCTCTCTAAATAGAATGTAAAAAAGGGCTAAAGATGTAGCTCAGTGGTTGAGAGCCCCTGGGTTCAATTCCCAGTACCAACAAAACAAAACAAACAAATAATAGCCTACTAGTGAAATGTGGTTACCACAAACAATGTGGCTCTATCACATTTGGGGTAGTACAATTTATGGTTTTGACCAATATTCTTCTACAAGAATACTGAGTGTCTGATCTATAGCTTTTAGAAGAGATTTCTAGAAGGGGAATTACTATATATGTTTTTAGAAAATCAAGAACCTCAGCAAAGCAGCTACTTCCTCTCCTGCTATGGATCTTCCTAATCCCATACAACTCCACAAGCAATGAGTCAAAGCAAGAGAGAGAGAGAGAGAGAGAGAGAAAATATTAATGTGCTGGCTGTGGGGGAAGCTCAGGGTAAAGTGTGCATGTGTGAGGTCATGGGTTTAATCTCTAGCACTGCAAAAAGAGAAAAAAGACTATATTAAAACAAAACTGATCTTTAGAAAGGTCTACAGTCATGTCAATTGTTTTTAAATACTCTCCCTTCTCATATTGAATGAAGAAAAGATTAGCAATAGTTACACAGTGACAAGTGCATTAAGAAATGCAAAGAGTCTGGTATGCAAGAGAGCCTGAACAATCTCAGCTGGTACCAGAGCCACCATCTGGGTCTTGGTACTTAGGGAAAGAAGGGCCTATAGCAGGAGAGTTACAATATGCCTTACTTACAGAAGAGAAAACAGCTCTGAGAGGGTGAGAATAAGGGCCCAGAATCCCTCCCCATATCTACCAGTGTTCTGAGCTTCTGTTTTCAAGCATATATATATATATACATACACACACACATGGATGATACAGGAGTATCCCATGAGCACAGATACAGTAGGTTGCATACATCCAGATAATGAAAGTGTTCTCTAAATACTGCTCTGTCCTTCCTGCCACTACAAGTACATTACTAACACTTCTTAGTATACTTTCGAGGCATGCTGGTAGGAAAATCTTGCTAAATGGAACTGCTGGTTCTGGACCTGAAAGAACCTTAGAACCAAATGACTTACCCTCTCTCAACCCTAGCTGAAGTTCCACCTGCCTCACCCTGACAACTTGTTCACTAGTTTTCCAACACTTCCAAGGAGGAAGAGAACATTCTCCTATTGAACAGGTTTGACTGCTGAGAGGTTCTTCCTCTCATTCAACTGAAATCTGCTTTGAGGTAACTGCCACCCACTGGCCATGACCTTGTTCATCATATTCTTTACTATATGAATCATTAGTATTTGAGAACAGCTTTCATGTATCTTAGAATTAGGCTACATATGCCCAGCTTCTGTCATTCCCACTTATATAGTTTCTGGATATTATGCCATCCTAAGGTGTGGTCTCAATTATTTCCAACCAAAAGATATGACTTGCTATCATAAGAAGGTGGACAGCCATTGCTGCTGCCTCTGATTCCACTGCTGCCAGCCTGAGGTTGCCTGGAGGTCTTTCTTCTGGGCTGCTGCAGAAGCCGCTGCCGTGCCCTGAAGTCTTTTCTCTGGGCACAGCCTTGGTTACATCGAATGCAAATTCCGAAGCTACCTCCGTGGTCACTGCTGCTGAACTGGAAGTCTCCTGTCAATCAACCGCCAACCTGCAAGCTACCACCATTGCTGTTGCCTCTGATTCTGCTGTTGCCAGCCTGAGATCGCCTGAAGGTCTTCTTTCTGGGTGCTGCTGCCACAGAAGAAACCACTGCCCCAGATGCAACTGAAGCCAATACTGCTGCTGAACCCCAGAGATCACCTGGTGACGCTGCCCCCACAGCTGCAGTTACAGCTGCCTTCTGCCAACAACCACTGCTACTACCTCTGCTACCACAGCCTAGAGGACTGCTGTGAGGGAGACTCCAGATTTGGTTGCACCCATTTTGGGACGCTAGTCAGGGCCTGGGGCCTTAGTGCCAGCAGGTTTACCACCACAAGAGCCTCTGACTGGGACTCCAGCTGGGACCTGCAGGTCTAGTGTGGGAGTGCTTGCGGGTTTGGAGGAACCTGAGGTCTTCCTGCTGAGAGTGCTGGTGGTCCTGGTCTTGCTGCTGCATCTTGGGGTTGCTCCTTTGCATGAGTGTATCTCCTGGTGGTCTCTCTGCAACTAGGAGCAGCACTGACATCTTGGGACTGCAGTGTGGCCAAGCTTGAGGTATCTAAGCCCAGATCGGTGGGATAGAGACTGGGTTTGCAAGGGCTAATCTGGGTTTGGTGATCCCGAGAGACATCAGAGACAGGGCTGAGAACTGTTGAACACTGACAGAGACAGTTCGACTTTCCAGCAAGATTTATTTTATTTTTTGATTCACTAATCTCTCTACCATACTTGGAACAGGATTTTTTTTTACACATCAGTGTATGGAGGACAATGATACATGAACAGTATGTTTTGCATTTTTGTTGTATTCTTATGTCTTTAATTTTTTGTCTTTGTATTCTTCCTCTCTTGTCTATTTTCATTCCAACTTTTCTCCAATCAACAGCCAATCTCTGCCAATCTCTGACAGCTCCTCTTCCACTCTTCCTGTGAATTTTTGTTTCTAGCTTCTCTCTTCCTCCCTCATGAATACTGCATACTCCACTACCTCTGTTCTCTCATCTACCATTTGAAATTGAAATCGTTTTAACAAATATTCTGTTTGTACAAGAGATAGTTATTGAATTTTGGTTTAATGCAAGAAAGCAGTAGATGCCTTAGTGGAAGCTATTAAGTTTAAGGCTATATATTGTGTTCACTGGTGCTGTTGATATTGGTCTTACCAATAAAGGCGAAGCTCTGGAGACGTTCAGAGACACTATAGTCTACAGGTTATAATTTATCCTGCCTTAGACCCATACTTTTAGATGGGAAAACACACTAACAACATGAAAAAACAAGGGAATAAAGCGCTCCAA